GTAAGTAAGTAAGTCAGTAAGTCAGTAAGTCAGTAAGTCAGAAAGTAAGTCAGTAAGTCAGTAAGTCAGAAAGTAAGTCAGTAAGTCAGTAAGTCAGAAAGTAAGTCAGTAAGTCAGTAAGTCAGTAAGTCAGTAAGTCAGAAAGTAAGTCAGGAAGTCAGTAAGTCAGTAAGTAAGTAAGTCAGTAAGTAAACCAGTAAGTAAGTTAGTAAGTAAGTCAGGAAGTCAGTAAGTCAGAAAGTAAGTAAGTCAGTAAGTCAGAAGGTAAGTCAGTAAGTCTGAATGTAAGTCAGTAAGTCAGTAAGTAAGTAAGTAAGTCAGTTAGTAAGTAAGTCAGTAAGTAAGTAAGTAGAAAGTAAGTAAGTCAGTAAGTCAGAAAGTAAGTCAGAAAGTAAGTCAGTAAGTAAGTCAGTAAGTCAGTAAGTAAGTCAGTAAGTAAGTCAGTAAGTCAGTAAGTAAGTCAGTAAGTAAGTCAGTAAGTCAGTAAGTAAGTCAGTAAGTAAGTCAGTATGTCAGTAAGTAAGTCAGTAAGTAAGTCAGTAAGTAAGTCAGTAAGTAAGTAAGTAAGTCAGTAAGTAAGTAAGTCAGTAAGTCAGAAAGTAAGTCAGTAAGTAAGTCAGTAAGCAAGTCAGAAAGTAAGTAAGTCAGTAAGTCAGATAGTAAGTCAGTAAGTAAGTAAGTCTGTAAGTAAGTCAGTAAATAAGTAAGTAAGTTAGTAATTAAGTCAGTAAGTCAGTATTTAAGTCAGTAAGTCAGGAAGTCAGTTCGTAAGTCAGTAAGTAAATAAGTCTGTAAGTAAGTCAGTAAATAAGTAAGTAAGTTAGTAATTAAGTCATTAAGTCAGTATGTAAGTCAGTAAGTCAGGAAGTCAGTTCGTAAGTCAGTAAGTAAATAAGTCTGTAAGTAAGTCAGTAAATAAGTAAGTAAGTAAGTAATCACCGAATTCAAAAAGGACTCCAACTATTTGATTGTCTGAAGAAACCCACGGCTAGGTGGTCCCGAAGCTGCCTGTCACTACACCAGCCTACATTTTAAGGAGTTTTTTTTAATTAATTTTTTAACCTCGATCAGGGGGCGTGACAGTTGAGAGTGTCTCTGCCCCCACCCCCCCACCCCCCACCCCAGTCTTTGTCTTCCAAATGAGCCAAAGTGATCAGAACCCACGTCAGGAAGATTGTGGGACATCTTCTGAAAGAGCCTGGAATGTTTACGTCCCAGTCTTCAACCTTGGGGAAATTTGGTGCATCACAACATGTGATTAATGACATCATAATTTTTATATACCGTCACCATAGCTTAATACTGCTGTATTACAACATATCGTCATACTGCCCAAGCCTATAGTCTGAACTTCTGCACACACAAAGGGTGCTTCTTCCAACTTAAGTCAAGTCATCCAGACTAGACTAAACTAATTTGCGTCTGTCTTTAGGTTGACCACGTCCGTCGATGCCGTGGTGGCAATCTGTGTTATTTTTGCCATGTCCTTCATCCCTGCCAGCTTTGTCCTCTACCTCATTCAGGAGCGAGCGACCAAAGCCAAACACCTGCAGTTTGTCAGTGGGGTCAGTCCACTGGTTTACTGGGTGACCAACTTCTTCTGGGACATGGTAAGTGAGGATTTTTTAAAAAATCTGGCATTTGAGTTGAATATTCAGAAACAAAGTTTTATGGAAATTAATTTGTAACATTCTTTTAAAATAACATTAGTATTCTATCTGTGTTTCCCCGCCGACAGATAAACTATTCTGTCAGCACTGCCATGGTGGTTGGTATTTTCATGGCTTTTGATAAGAAATGTTACACATCTCAAACTAACCTGCCAGCACTAATAGCTCTGCTGCTTCTGTACGGGTAAATGACTGCAGTTAGATTCATTTAAAAAGCGAAAAGAGTAAACAGATTTCAGACTGAAAACATAAAAATAAGTTGACATCAGTTCTCCTTCCTTCAGGTGGTCTGTGACACCCATGATGTACCCCATGTCCTACATCTTCAGTATCCCGAGCACTGCCTACGTGTCCCTGTCCTGCATCAACCTCTTCATCGGCATCAACAGCAGCGCCATCACCTTCATTCTGGAACTTTTTGAAAACAATCGGGTAATCACATGTTGAAAAAGAAACATAGCAACTAAAAGGATCAGCCCAGGCAAAGAATCAAACATATTTTTTTAATCTAAATACTTTCGGCTTATTATAGATAATCATTTCAAACAGGACGTTTTTATTATGTGTAGTAAAGAAATCAAATGCACATTCAAACCCTCGAATCAAAGTCATGTCAGACTCTGACATTTAGCAATAATTTTTTCTTTCTTTTTTTCTTTTTTTTTGCCACTTCAGTAGAAAGCAGAACTGAATATCTGAATATTAGTATCTTAGCTTTTTCATCATCAGTGGCCTTTTTTTAAAGAAGAAAAAGTAAGAGAATAGTGAAATGTAATAGAAAAGAGTGAAAGAGAGATTAGAAGATATGTGTGTATATATATATATAAAGAAACCACAAGACAACACACCCGACATCTTGGCTGTACACCTACAGAAACAGAGATAAAAACAGAGCAACAAAAATGCATATCTGTAATTATGATGATTATAGCCTTGCTGAAAGGTATACATGTGTGTGTGTGTGTGTATATATATATATATATATATACATACACAT